ACCTTACTACTCAATCCAGAATCTAAGACTACCCAAGTTCCAATTTCACTACTCAACTCCGGATTTTACTACTTCAGTCAACAAACTACTACCCAAGCCCAAATATTACTACACAAGTCCCCATTTTACTACCCAAGTTCAACTCTTCATACCATGATTACAACCGAATAAAATTACACTACCTCTTCAACTTTCACTACCTCATCCAATCGATAGCAATTCACGACTTCAAGGCAAAAACTCACTACATCAGCATCCCACACTCCTGCTTCTTACATTCTTACCTCACTCTCAATACTACAAATGGACCAGAACAAGTACATTATGCCAGTACCTGATTTAATTCAAATTCATCACAAAGATCGCAGGAAGATGGACGATTATGTGCTTGACTTCCCAGCTACGGAGCACGGCTACCGTATTCGAATCGGCAACTCTCAAAAAAAAAGTAGTTCGGTCTCACACTACGAATGCTACCGATCAGGCTATCCCTCTGGTCGAGCCAATTTCGCAGGAACCACCAAATCGGCTCGAATTGGATGCCCATTCAAACTAGACACCCGATACCTACACGATTTCTCAACTTGGATTCTCATCCACACTCATCTGGGCCACAATCACCCGACCGACCCGAATGTGAAACCTCGCAAGAGGTACAAGGACCCCAAAGCTGGACCGATCCTTGCCCCAGGCGTCCTTCTCGATGACGAAGTCATAGTCAATGACAAAGCCAGTCCAATCTTGCATGAACCAGCCATCGGAACCTCACAGTAAGCCACTTCACATTACAATGACTCTATCATATAGACAACATACAAAAAACTGACACTTCCTTTCTCAATAGTCTGAATTCAAAATTGGACCCTACCTCGACAGCCGAAGGACCCAATTCACTTGCGAACACAAACTACTCATGGTAAGTAAAAATTCGATTCAATCAAAGAGATAAGAAGATAAACTTACATCCTTTACCTCTATGTTCCATAGGAAAATCGAACCTACTTTAACAAAAGTCAGTCATCTTCAGTTTGTATCCTTGATTATACAATATGAATGAATTCTCTCATCCTTTTCCATCATTTCAGCCAACCACCACCACTCATCCATTGCCAATTCGAAACATCGACCAGCATCCCGGACAGCCGAACTATGACATTGAAAGAGACCCTCAGTTGAACAACTCACTCGACACCACTCTTTCAAACCTCAGAGCCCACCTCTCCGCTATGACACCAGATCGTCAGCAGGATATACTAAAGAAGATCCAGACACTCATTAGCAATGAACGCATTATCAACAATGAGGGGAAATTACCTATATTGTTCTTACCAGAACCAACACAACAGGTAGGCAGCAGACCTTCACACAACCCAACAAACTATGGCTAGCTGACTCGATAAGGTTACTTCGATTCTAGACTTTGCTTCAAGAATTGGAGAACAATACCCCGATTTTACCTTACGCCTCGCTAGACATAGGCGTAGATCAGGAAGAGCGCTCAGTAAGCAATCCATGCCAATCAAATCATAGCTTGAAATGTCCGTATTTATTGTGTGATCATTTCTCATCAATTACATCTTCCAGGTTGAAAGTCTTATCGAACAGTTCTGTGGTCCTTCAGAAATTACCACCTCCACCTTCAACTTTGAAGATCTCCTGATCTCTCAGCCTACCCCCGAGCGTCCTCAACCAGTCCATACACTTACACAACATTCTTTATCTCCGACGGGTCCACTTGATAGCGGAATCGAAGAATCACCATCACAACCAATCGATTCATCCCTTCAATTGCCCAAATCAGATTGCTTGGCACAATTACCATACCAACCTGTCGCTTCGGATCCTGTCGCTTCGGAACCTGTCCCTTCGGAACCTGTCGCTTTCGATTGCCTACCGGGCATCCCAATCTGTACATCACCCACATCCTCATCTCAAACTTCTCCACCTACAACTTTAAGTCCACGCGTCACCACACGTAAACGTTGCCGCGAGGCTGCTTTAATACAGAGGCCAAATGTGATCAACCCCAATCTACCGGCCCTTATGGCGAAGTATCATCTTCACTCCTGGCTCGAACCATTTGTTATAGATATCCGAGAAGTTAAAGCGGATGGACATTGTGGCTTCCGAGCCATTGCCATTTCAATTGGGCAATCCCAGGACGAATGGGAACGCATACGTGAAAAGATGGCCGATACGGTAAAAAACATCGAGGATGAACGTCCATTACCTGAGAATCGTTCTGATGCTTTAGCTCGCCTTCTCACCAGCAAACCCAATGTGGCGTCCGACCGGAAACATTGGCTTGGCATGCCCAGTTGGGGTGGAGTCATTGCAACTACCTTCAACCGACCGGTGTTGTACTACGATCCTGGCTCATATAGTCAGCTGGTTTTTCCTTACTTCTCCCCTTATAACATGAACCCTCCAATCGTCCTCGCCTATGCTGACCTCCACTTCACATCCCTATTACTCGACTTCACAAAGCCGAACTTCCCCGCCCCACGACTATGTGGAACATGGCGAAGGTTTCATAAACCCGAGGCCTCAACTTGGCTTGAACCTTGGCAACCGCTTATAGACGGTCATGCAGAGCATATGAAGGGTCTTAATAAACATCGGAAAAAAAAGAAAAATCCGGTTTGTATTGTAGATTAAACCAAACCCAGTGTCGCATGGCTTTTTTTTCACATGTAACTAGCATTAGTCGACCGATTTGGTATGGAATTCTAGACTTTAGCTTCCACCAATTAAAAGTTGTTTGAATGTCTAGCTGGTTCAGCTGAAGATTCTATCACTGATTCCACAAGATATCCAAACCTTGAGAGGGTAACTGCTTATAAATGGTCAGATGCTCTATGAAGGGTCTTGATAAAAATCAACAAAAAAAAAAACCTCCATTGACCAAACCAAGTGTAGGTAGCAACTGAGATGATAATGACATCATCTTGCATTTGATAATATTTCATAACTCAAGGTCCGGCCATAGAAACTTGTGTGGGTCTGAGAGATGTCCACCCACAAAATGACTTAAAGCCTTCAGAGCAAATGTAACCGAAAAAATTGTCTTCGTAATCTTTTCATCATCATCCACTTCAAAAGATTGCCATGCAGTATTTACAGATTTAGAAAGAAGATAAGACAAGCAAAGAGATGCATGAAAATATCAAAGTGCCATCTCCCAGTCAATATTAATACCTTGCTGTCGATCAAAACCATGGAAGTCCAAGTTTCTTTTGTCCTCTTCTTCCTCATCCCCTCCCTGAAGTATCCATGCTGCTTCCTCATCCCCTTCCTCAGGTGCCCATAATATTGGAAGCATAAGTAAGTCAACTGGGGCACCTGTTGTGCGCGCATGCATTTGCTGCCAAGCAAGCAATAAAGCACCGTCGGCTTCTACCCTCCCTTCTACATAGTCTTTTGTAAGTTCCACAACTTCTAACAAGCAGCGCTCCCAATGAGTCCATAGGCGGCTGGTACGCTTAGACAGCCCAGAGTGGATAGAGTTCCACTCTGCTACTCTCACCCCTCCTGTAAAAAAATGATCAGTCATAAAATTATCAGTCATACATAAGGGCGGGCAATAAAGGTTGGCGAGGCGGCAGTGCTGACCAGGGGCTTGGTTGGGCCTTGACCTGTCTACCCGGCCTTGATAGTCGAGCGACCAACCTACGAGCTGCCTGGCCTCACGCCCCAGACGTCGCAGCTCCTCTTCGGAAGCCAATTGATTTCGAAGTGATAATATGCCTTCCTTGGTTTTGGGGCAAGAAGCCCAGGGTTCATCAAGGTGGTTGAGTGCTACCTCGTCCCAAAAAGGATGAAGCAAATCCATTGCCGCGACTTCGTCCAAAGTCGGTTCAAGAAGTCTCTGAGCCGGTCGGAAACGTTGGTTGTATTTAGAAGCATACCTCAAATATGTATCCAGCTTCTTTTTCAAAAGAACACGTTTCTTCTTGCGCAGTTGTTCATTCCGAGGCTGCTGGGTGGCACCTGTGTAACGACCAATTATTCATCATCAGTTTAGAATAACTTGGTGAGATCCACTATGGAATTATCATAAAGGAAGTTAATTGTACGCACCAGTTCTTGTGGCGGCATGAGCCTGCTCTTGAATTACACCCACCGCTGCCTCATACAAGAACCCTAATGCCACCTGGACACTAAGGATGGCCTTCAGCCTGATGTCTAGCGGTTTCAGTCACACCATGGTCATTTAAATGATTTCACAATGAAGTCGATCTTACAGTGACTTACCAGTTCCGCGCCTAGCCCTCAATAATTCCGCATTGCCCAGTTCGTCAGCCACGTTTTGAATCTGTACTTCAAGCGCGACCAGTGAAGCAGGCAGGTCCAATAATTCATTGCGCTGCTCTGCAGTACGTATTTCCGCATTGGCTGCATTCATATCAACCAGCCTCTGACTGAAGCAAATGATGTTGGTGAAAGGTACATTTGATTGTAGCTGAAGCCACAATGGAAAAAAATACGCACTGTGCATCCAAAAGCTCCTCCTCCAGCGTAAGTAAAACACCTAGACGATCCCGTTTCTCCTTGGTCTGCACGCTGATTGCTTCCAACTGCAACGCTCGCTGACGATCCCACTGGATTTGGAAGTATTCAGCAGTATGTGCAGGGTCTTGCGCGACAAGCTTGGCCAGAGAAGCCTTAGTTTCCTTTAGCTCAGCTTGGTATTTCTTCGTTTGGGCAAGCATGAAGGAAACTGTGGGGGAAAAACATTCATGATGAGTCGGGTGATCTAAATCCACATATGGATCACATAACGGGCCAATTATTGTAGTTCATGACTCGTACCTGCGTTCTTTTTCAACGCCTCATTGCGATGGTTGGTCCACAGATCGAGACTAACCATCCGCCGATGCTTAGTTGCGTAGCGTAGCAGTCGAATGAGCGGCGAAATATTGAACCACACCCGCTCGAGACCTTTGCCGTTGCTTTTCCCCCATCCTCGAATGAGACGAGGGTTATACTCCAACTGACATCCCCAGTTGTGAGCGTAGGCATGGAAGAGAGCCGTCCCAATCTTCACCTGCCTAGCATATTCAGGATCAGTGAATACGGTTTTCTATAAGGTGAAAGCAGTAGTTAGCTCATATGATATATGTGGTATAAGACTTATGGGTACAGGGATTATACCTTCTTTATAGTTTTGTCAAGGTTACATCCTATATCGTATAGAATACCAACTGTTGTTGTCCCATCTCGGTCGTTTTTGAGGAGGTTAAGCAACCACTCGATAAGTGCTAGTGCGTTATAATTCCTGAAAAAAAATGGTCAGTCATAGATCCAACAACATTCAGTTACAAAGACATTCTATTAAGAATAATACCTACTTTTCGCCACTTTGAATCAGATTAATGAATTTGAGGACATGGTCATGTCTACATGCCATGCCCAACAAACCTGACTCGTCCATATTCTTAAAATGACCTCGCCCTCTCACATCGTTTGCTGTGGTGTGAGCTTCGGTGCAAGGGTCCTACCACCAGAAACCAAGTTCGTGGGTCATTCCTTCAGCACTGTAAGTCTATGTCGGGCTAAACCAAGGATGAAAAACTTACATCTTCACCATCTGACTCGGGCCCTTGGTTCATAAAACGTTCCTTTGCTTCAACCAATCGCGGGTCAAGGAAAATTGAAGGTCGAGGACGGAGCGAGCCCGGCATCGGCACACTAGCACGTGCGTGTCTCTTATGTTGGAAGTTACCATCCAGGCAGACCACAACCCGCGGCTCCTCCGGTCGAACAATCCCTACTGGAGGCCCAAAACACTTTGGACAGTTCGCAGCCAGCTTGTCAAGGTCGGATAGTCCCAGTTTTTGCTCTTCCAACTCCCGAATTTGGAAGAGTATAGCCCGATAGGCGTCTATTGCCTGTGTAAATGGCTGTCGCCAATCTCGTGGCTATAAGATATCAAACTCAAATTTTTTTGGATAATATATATCTTATCCCAAAAGAATCGAACTCACAAGGCCACTGGCTGTTACTATTTCCGGACTGCCGTGGTGAAGGACATCGTCCAGTGCTGAACAGTAACCTTCGGTAGGCACGGCGAATCGAATCCACTGTGAATGATGGTGTACCATCAGTCTCACCGAAAAAGCTGTGCGCGGCTGCGATGGTGAAGCAGCAAGATAGCCCATCTGAAGCAGGCGTTGAGGGTCGGAAAGATCACACTGCTTGCAAAAAGACACCTTGATTCGCCGTCTCGCTGACCAGCAGAAAGGATATCAATCTTCTTAACTTTTCATTCTTCCATCCAGAAAATGATTTTTCATGATGACTCACATAGTATGTCAATGAGGTCAACGTCTCGTTCCGTCCGCATGGTACAGTTACAGGGCGGGCGTAGGTCTTGGTTCCATTTCGCTTGGTTCCCCCAATTGGAAGTTTCCATCCGGTTTTGAAGAAATGTTGGTAACATAATGGCGTACTGCCAAAGCCAATCACTCTCGTGGGCCAGGCGGTCAGCTAGGTGAACCTCCCTGCGCAATGCAGCCATGATTGGGTTGTTGTGTGCTTGATGTTCCTCGTCACCAGGCATAAATCGATTCAAGTCAATAAACAGTTCCTCTTCACCTGCTTCTTCTCCTGGGTGATCTAAATCGTCGGCCGCCAGCGCTGGCACATCGTGATTTTCGGCTTCCGCATCATCTATAGGCACCGGGTGTTTGTTAAGCCGCTGTTCCACTGCAGCCATAGAAGCCTCAGCATTCTCGAAGTCACGTTGCCGCGTGTTCACGAGTTGTTGTTGCAATGGAGTAGTTGGCTTACGTTCCTTCTTACGTTGATTGAATCCCTTGATGATCCGAAGGGAGGGCATGGTGGAGGAAATGAAGGTGACAGTGATTTTGTATGGCCTCTTTCAATCACATGATTTTTTCGACCTCACCTAACTATCTGATTCACCGGCCGGTGGCGACGGCGAGGTCGAAATCGACACGAATTTGGGTTGCAGATGGGGCATTGAACTCGCGGTGCAGATGATGTGCGACTTGGGACCGTCGGCGGTAGACGCTGTCGAAGTGATGAGCGGGAGTCTGAGGCAGCAGGTGTTTGGGAACTTCGTGAGATCGGAAAGCTGAGGTCTTGAGTCCAGTTTTGCGCTTGGCAGGTGCCTTGGGCTTCTTTGGGGTCTTCTTGGAAAGTTGTGGAGCGTTCGGCTTCTTTGCAGGTACAGGTGCAGGGCTGTTCAACAAACAAACAATAAATTAGGATGGAGAGCGGTCGCGAGTGATCCTTTAATGGGCACTTACTTTAAATCCTCTAAGTCAGTCAGGTCCGAGTCGTATCCTGAGTACTTCGGAGCATTGGCTGTCGCCAAATTCTCTTGAAGAATGGTTTGTTCCATGGAGGAGCTGGTCGGAAGGAGGCAAAGTAAATAATGGTCAGCATTGGTTTTCTACATCTACACAATCGAGCCGATAGTTGCCAGGAGGATTCAAGGTAACCGGTTACCCTGAATCCAGCGCTGGGATCGAACTCATAGCCGGCTATGAGTTCTGAAGCCAGGTGCAACTATCGGCCTTCCAAAAGGTGGGATAAGAGACGAACGCACCGATTTGTTGTTTGTTTTGCGAGTGCTTCAATCGTTTTCGAACGGACGGAAGAATGGAAGTTAGCTTGGCATTAAAAAACCAACGGACGATTCGGCTGCCTTCAGGATTCGTTGCAACCGGTTGCAACGAGTCCTGCGCAAGAGAGAATCTCATAGCCGGCTATGAGGATTCTCTCTTGGTGCGATGAATGTCCGTGGATAGAAGAATAATACGATATAAAAAGTAAGTAAAGGGGAAAAACTCACAGACCTATTGTGAGTGAATGATGTAGGGTTTGGGAAGGTTCGATGGCACGTTTCGAAAGGTGGGGAACTTGATGTGCAAGCCGATCAAGGGTGGGTTTGAGGAGAGTCAATCGTATGGGATAGAGTGAGGGGTTGGGATAGGGTGGGATGAATCGATCGTATGGTGTGGCGATTGATGAGTAGTCAAGTCATGATTAGGGTTAAATGACTTGGACTTGCCCCTTGTGTCACAAGTACGAGTACTTGTGAGATCCCAAACATATACATATACCAACTCTAGTTTGTGCATGTGAAAGGTGCGAGAGGTACCGCTGACAGTCGCACCTCTCCCATGATCAATATCCTGGATGGCAGTATATCAACCGCACCTTTAACACCGATGACGCGCCGTCCGAAATGTCATATCAAACTCACCTCCAACACCGAAGCTGGCCGTACACATGCAGGTAAGGTGGCAACTGATCTACCTGTTACATTTACATTAAGAGGGTTGTACTGATGACAAAGTTTCTCTATGACGAAGTTTATTTGGACATGCTTGGTGGGTCCGATCATTGGATGGCTTGCTTTGAGGTTTGTGAGAACAAGTGGAGGAATATATCAAGAGGGGACATCAAATTGTAAGTTTATCTATGATATATTATTGTATAATTCTTGATAGATAAACTTACACTAACACCAATTGACTTGTGCGTCAGGATTACTTGCCTGACTTGCTTCTTAGAACTCTGAATTGCCGACATTCGACATTCCTTTAGCAAGTGAGCAGTTTATGAGATAAAGGGCATTCAAGGTAAAATCTGGATATCGATATATCCATATCCAAATATCGATATCCAAAGGAGCGAAAATTCACTGATCGATTGCTCAGTCCGGAAACGAGGCTTCCCACTTATTGCCAGGACATTCCTTTAGCAGCAAGTATCGACTACTCAGTCAGCAAACGAGCTTGGTCACTTATCGCCAGTGTACTTATACTCCATCCCCATCACCCGACATTGCCATCTGATCAGAAAGCCTTCAATGACGATATTTCGCCCCATCCGTTCAAAGCCGGCCAGAGATCCAAATGCTCCTCGTGGCCGTGTATACACATTCACTGGGCTAGACGATTTGCCAACACGCGACCAAACGCAAAGCGCGCCTTTTCTTATAAGTTCAATACCTACTGCGCCCGCCCTGGTTTGCAGAGGCGAGGATCAATGCTTCAAATGCACTGGATTTGGGCATTGGCGAGCCGGATGCAACCGAAGAACACCAAAGGGTGCCGAAGATCTTAAAAATTGGTGTCTTGTTGAAGTTCGCCCTGGCATAAGCAAGGCCTACTTCTTAGGTACTCTCTGGCCGAGTTTGATGACACCTGAGAAGGTTGTGCAAGCCACCGTCACCCACTTGGCTACATCGTAGGTTTTGTTTTGTAAACTAATTTCGAATCAACTGAAGAATGATTAAGGCAATTTTCCGACTTTTGCGACTTTTGTCATTAGATCTTCCAGCGTCTTGCACCCGTCGCCTATCGCTGTAACCCCCTCGATTTCTAAAGGCGAATTGTAAGTAAATTGTTCTTGGTCAGCCGATTTATGACTCAGATCATGCAAGCTGACTCATAGTCCCTTGATATTCCATAGGTCCTCTAAGCGAAAGCTAGAGCTTGAAAGTGCTTTGGTTATTAGGGAAGCACTTTGGCGCCCCAAGTCCTGCTCAGACTTGAAGGATGAGACGCTTTTGTGACTTGACGATTGGTGAGTGTCTCCTACCCATTAGAGTTCAGGGGTAAGACCCCACAGCTGCATTGCTTTGGGGCTGACAGGAATGCTGTTTGATTTATATTGCAGTTATTTCGGTGCTTGTTTTGCGACTATGTGATGCGTCGATTAAGGGTGTATTTAATGTGGATCAGTGATTTCACTTTATCACTCTCTCTCATGTATGTGATGTATAATGGTATTTTTGTTTTGAAAATGGCACATGACAAAGGGTGAAAAAATACATATTTGTATATTATCAAGAGCTTTTAGAGGAATTGTGTGATGATAGTTATTTATTTCTTTATAGTTCATTGTTTCGAGCTTTTTGTTTTGAACTTTTGGATGTGGTTTCAAGAATCAAATCATATTGCAACAGTGCATTTCTTATCAATTGCAGATGCTATTTGACAATTATGACAAGTTGCGAGCATGAGTGAAAAACTACTTAGATTAAAACAGTACCAAAAATAGGAAACAAAAATAAGCTTTAAAAAGCTTCCTAGGCTAATGTAAGGAACTTTGTAAAACAAAGTTAATTATTTGAGGGATGATGCTCAAAACCGGTAAGCTGCTCCAGGATTTGAACTGATTCCAAACTTGAGTTGCCCTGCGATGAGTTGGACTTGCAATCCAGGTCTGGAATTGGGTTGTCGTCTAAAGCGGCTTCCTCAGCAGTTAAGGTGTGTCTATTTTTACGTTTCCTTTTCTTTTCATTGGTTTTTTTCTTGGTATTGGTCTCGTCAATAATAACAGTGTATCGTTTTGATTGGATATCGTTGAACCAGGCCTCAACTTCGTCATTGGTAAGACAACCTGGCCCCTTCGAAATCATCAAATCTGTCACCTGGCTGTTGAGTGTACGATTAAAGCTAAGTGCTACATCGCCTCGGAAGGTTTTTGTCGCAAATGCTTCCCTCAAGTTTGGACACTTGGGGTGGGCATCTCCTTTGCCCTGGTACCCGCCACAAAGATAAGGAACTGATTTGCAGAAGGAGGGGAAGGTTAGTTGGCAATGGTGCAAAAAACAAAGCCGCAGAGGCGTACCTATCAAACCATTGAGGGCCTTTGCTAGCTCCGAGCGCTTTTCTGCTTGTCGGGCAGCTGAGTCGGTTTGCGGCTTGGAGTCTGGACGTTGCGTGCGGAGATGTTGTGGGGCTCTGGTCGACTCGAAGGTGAACTTCTCAAGAAGGTGCTGTTTCTCCTGCTGGCGAGCCCATCTGTTGCAAGAGGTATGCTCAACCTGGAATAGGGCTCGGGCGGTGGTGGTGGCCGGGTTCCAACAAGCCATCAGGAGGTGAAAATTTAAGTTGAAATGATTTTTCAATATGTTAAGCTGGTAGGCAAAAGCGAAGTAAGTATCTGACAGATGGAAAAATAATATTATGGTGCTTACCTGCCGAACAACCCTGCTAATTTCAAGCTGCATCAGCTGCTCAGAAGTCCGGTTGCTTGATTTCCCACTGTGCCTCCAAAGTCTTCCCTGGTGGAGGTCGCGTGAGACTTTCTGTAGGTTGACCAAGCGTTCAAAGACTGGGACATAAGTTTGGATTTCTTGCTCGGTGAGGGGTTCGAGACCGGAGGGGGGGTATTGTGTTGAACAGCAACCGATGCAGAAATGCCGAGTGGGGTTGTAGTGAGTGCGTACGCCTCGCTGGTTGCTACACATAGACGCTCGAAGTACTGTGGCTTAAAGACTGCCTGTTCCTCATCAACGTAAGTCGACCAAGTTGAACCGACAAGGCGGTTGCGTTCTTGAAAGCCAAGTGAGACTCCCTTGGGTGGCACTATATTACAAATCAAAGGGTTATTGAGGTTGTGTTTGCTATGTAAAATATATTAACTTACTGGCAGTCTTCGTGGCCACATTGCTGTAAGTCTGATAATTAGTATACATATTTGGTTTGCAAGCTAGAGGGCCTTCTAATCTGTTGAGGCAGAAAATTGTTGAATCAGTGTCTTGCTTGTGTGTTGGGAACTCGAAAAGAAGAGGAGAGGATATGAGATCAGATGGCATATGTACTGACAGAGCTTCGTCAAGTACCCTTCTGCTGACTTTCAAAACAATGCAGAGCATTGTCTTGTCCGTCTCATAGGCCGATTGAAGGCCTTGTGCCTCAAAGAGACCGTTGCTTGAGGGTCGGTTGTTTTTGGGGAGCTTGAGGTCAGCCAGGTATTGTTCGGCTCGGGCAATACCCCATTCCATGCCAAGTTTGCGATAGTTCGAAATGGTAGGGGTAACGTCGGTTTGGGTGTTGGTGGGCTCCTCTGGGTTCAGGTCAGTTTCGATTTCCTCTTCAATGTCGACAGTGAAATCTTCGTCATTGCTAATGCGGGCTCGCTTACGCTTGTTGCTGGTGTTGGCTTGGTTCTGACTTTCAGCTATTCTTCGCCTGTGTACAGTGGGGATGGGGGTGGGCAAGCTGGCTTTGTCGACAGAGTTTTGTATGCTCGATGGGGCTGGCGAGGCAGCCTGTCGCTTCCTGCGATTGCCGGGGCGTGTGGGCATGTTGAATGTGATTCAATAGATGTTCGAGAGTGGCTGGA